TTTAACCCAATCATGCTACAAGTACAGAATTTTTTGACAAATCTTTTTTACAGATAAATACATGGCACGGCATTATTGGAAGATGGAAAAAAGAAAAAAGAAAAAAATTTACTTACATTTTGCCATGTGAGCATCGGTACAAATTCCGTTAAATTTTCCCTGTACTTATGGCTTTATTGATTTTAATCACATGGGGTGGGTCCGTGTGAGTGTTCTGTAAAAATTCTGTATACCATACCTCTGTATATATGGCATTTTCCATTGTTATTTCGTGCTAGTAAGACCGAAAAATGAACCAATCAATTCTGCATTTAAAAACTCTATTCACAAAGCATCTCTTTAATCATAAATATTTAGTTTATATTTCGTACATAATATTCGAAACTGTAATGCAAGTAATCTATTTTCAGATTGAAATAATTTTTAATTTATCGCTATTTATTTACTTGATTTTGTCTATTAAGTAATTCCTTTATATATATATATATATATACTGTAATGCAAGTAATCTATTTTCAGATTGAAATAATTTTTAACTTATCACTATTTATTTACTTGATTTTGTCTATTAAGTAATTCCTTTAATATATATATATATATTGTAATAAATGATAAGGTCGTGAATATAAACTTTTACGGGTATTCTTAACTAAGATTTTGATAAATTTCAAAAGATTATAAATCCTAATGAATTTTATGATTTAAATAGATTTCCACAAATTCCATAAGAATCTTATCAAATATGGTAAAATTTCAAAAGATTTGATGATATGCATTTTTAAACTTGAAATCCATCCCCATTTTTTTAAAATCCTTCTATTAATGAAATTTATAAATGTATTAATTATTGAGAATACCTAAATTTTATAGGATTTCATTGAATTTCATTAAAATCTCAAACAAGAACACCTAAATTTTAATTGATTTCATTAAAATCGGTTAAAAGGATTTTTAAAATTCATTACAATCGCAGTTGATGACACCCAAAGTTATAATTTTTCATTTTCTAGTTAAATTTATATTCGATTGTATTATTGTCAACAAGATATTTTTAAACTTTCAAGCTTTGCACAGCTGGATTTGACTATGTCAAATGGGAAATTGGATATATTCACTGGTCTACAATTAATACAGATCTAGCAATAATTAAGCCGAAATTTGGGGTTTAAGAAAAGTAATTCACAAAAGTGGGCCATGTGTGATTCCAATACAATCCGCCTTCTCCATTTTTTATAGTATAATGCTAGTTGTACAGAAGTGTTTTCACATAGGAAAACCAGAAGCCTCACATATAGGTCGGCCCCACTGCGGGAGTAGTGTATTAAAAAAAGGCAGAAAAAAATCCGGTCCCACCGAAGTGTGAGACATCTGTATGATGTCTGTGAAAAAGAGTTTTGTACGCCTAGCGAAACCCCTTTTTTTAATACAATTGTGGGAAAATTACATAAACAGCACGGGATGAGAATAAAAAAGAATTGTGACTTTTTCTTGGATTTGATTTGCAAGTCAAAAGTTTTCAACAATTGAAGAAGTCAATGATTCTCCTAAAATTACGACTTAAAAGGCAATCCTTCGCTACTTCCGCTATACACAACCAAGTACTCTCGGGGTCGGGGTCGAGGTCGAGGTCGAGGTCGAGGTCGAGGTCGAGGTCTATCTACGGAGCATCGTTCTTCTTTTATGGTCAAGATATTCGTTGCTAAATGATGTTGGGAAAGTTGCCAATTTTTGCCAAATTAAAAGGGAAGAAATCAATGTTTTAAGATAATAAAATAAAGGTAAAATTTGATATTTTCTTGGAGTTGGAGCAAAATATGTCAAATTTATTGTTAGTTAATAGGTGTGCTGGAATTGCAGAGTATTCGATTGTGTGTCTTTAGGTCGTCGAGACACGTAACCATATTTGGGTAGTGGAATTGTCTATCTTTTGTTGGTTGGATTTCTTCTGTAATATTGAAAATATGAAGTTTCGATTTAAAGGTTTGTTACCATGTCGCTTTTTAAGACATTATTTAACTTTCATTGGAACCTCTTTTGAGTATGGTTGGCGTTAGTGTACTGAACATGAACAATCTGAACGGTAAAGAATTTGAGAAACTTATGCAATAAGTTTTATGTTTCATTTCCGCAGTATAATAGAATACAACTTTTGAATTTGAGTATAATGCATGGAAGTGTAGAAGAAGTTAGAAAGAATTATTTAGAATTCTATCGAGTTATCACATATTTAATCGAAGAAACCTTGAATCTATATATATAGATTCGTGTCGCACAAAGTGACAATCACTGAAAGGTGTCTTTTAGGATTGAAATACATCAAAGAAAACCGAAAAATATCAAATTCTAATAGCCAAAGATCATTTAAGGACGAAAAGATATTATTGGTGTTGCTTGACAACACAAGTGCGTAGGCTGGTGTTGCAAGGCAGCACGCTGAACACAGAGTATCTGCACTAGACGGGTAGCACGTTGCTGTGGCCATGGAGTATGCTAGCGCTACTAGCTTAAACGCACCGATTTTCCAAAAGTTGTGGATGAATTTATGAGTGATATGAAAGGTAATGGACATTTAGACTTACGATGGATCAATGATTCAGTGGTTTAATCATGAAGCCAATTATTCGGTGTCTTTGAATGGATCGACGATCGAAATAGATTTGAAAAGTGTGGATATCGCGAATAATAGTTTGTATTTTTATAAGCTAAAAATGATTAATTGTAAATATTGTTAAAAATGAAAGAAATAATACAAAGAGGGAGATTAGACCTGATATTAAAATAGATAAACAAAACTCACCCCATAATTGTCACATTTGAACTCTTTATCATTCATGTCTATCACGAGCAAGTTCATCATGAGATAAGATATCACTCTCCGAATGAGTCACTATCCCTAACCCGTGGAATTATATCTTCCTAATTAAATCTCATGAAAGAAGGAGTTGAAAGGAATTTTTAAACGATCGTGTGGCCTTATATGTGTAAATTGTTGTGTATTAAATTAAAGGCTATCGAATTCGGTTGAGCCCAATTAAAGTGATCTAATAAGGCTTCGATTTTGGGCCGTTATGCATCCAATTAAAGTATGAGTTTATAGATGTGTAGAGACCTGACCCAATCCCTAATTCCATGATGGGTCGAATTAGGTCAAAGGGCGTCGCTATATAAATACGGTTATGGTCCCCAAATCACACGTACGTATTATTCATTCTCTTCTGCATCCCATCATAGAGAGAAAAAGGAGGCTGCGTATATATTTGGAAAATTATATCGCGAAATTCATTATTGCATTAATCATGTCTGATTCAGGTACGCTTCCGCCATAATTTATGTATTTCTTGATGATTTAACATGAAATATCCGATGATTTAAAGCAATCATTGGGAATCGAATAATTGATTTGGTTCTTGCAATACTCTTTTGAAGTTTTCAGATTTAACAATTTTAGATCTTTATTTTGTTGAATTTGAAAACTTTTGCGGTATGTTGTTCCTTATTGTCTTTAATAATTATGATTTATAGTTAAGGAATTTTCAGATTATGAATTTTTTGAGGAATTACAGCTTTTGGGTTGAAAATTTCAGATTATGATTTTGAATTCAGATTCCAGTTTTTTTTTCAAATTTAAAAAAAAATTATTTTGCAAATTTGACCGGCGACGGGTGTGCTGCCGACGTATGTAGCGGGCTGCTGTAGCAGCAAAGCTACGGCGACGCCGCAAGGGAGAAGAGGGAGATTTTTCTAGGGTTTTTTTTTCTCTAGTTTTTGGTTGATTTGGGGGCGGGGGCCTCACGTGTAAATTAGATAATTTGAGGCCCTGCTTGCAATTAGGGTTAGGGTTATAAAATTAAGGATTCAGTCCCTAATATTTAAGTTATTTTCAGATTTGGACCTTTAAGTTTTGGATTTAATAATTCAGTCCCTAAGGTTTAAAAATTAATTAATTCGGGCCATTAAAGTTTTGAATTTTATAATTAAAGCCCTCAAACTTTAATTATTAATTCAAATTGGCCCCCAAAGTTTGTAATTAATTCAAATTGACCCCCAAAGTTTAAAATTTTTAAAATTTGATCCCTAAAGTTATGAATTGGTCAATTTTTGGCCCCTAAAGTTTTAAATTTTTTTCTAATTGATCATCTAAAGTTTTGAATTAATTAATTATGGTCCTAAAGTTTCAAGATTATTAATTTCAACACCTAAAGTTTGAAATTAATTAATTTTGCCCACTTAAAGTTTTGAATTATTAATCCTAAGCCCCCTAAAGTTTAAAACTAAGTCGAATATGCAAAAATAATGATTCTCTTTCTCAAATTTTGGTACCAAGGACTCTTTTAAAAGATATAATATTCGAAAGTTAGTTAATTGAAGCAACATGTTGTCAAAGCAACCTCGCTTGTGGAAATTAACTAACTTAGAATATTAAAAGGTGTTTGTGCATGTGTTATTCATCGGAATATTGGTCGGCCCAAAGGAAGGTCAATATTTAGCCGAATACACGTGCACCTGTGGTGATAAACGTGTGACGATTATTTGGTTTAATGTGTGATCAATAAATCGGTCCAAAGAAATATTTGTTGATTGATTCATTGTTTTATCGTCAATGTTTGATCACTACGCCAAGAGTACTGCTTACAAGTCAATATCTCTGTCCAAAGACTAGATATTAATGTTGTGCTTGCTATCTTGTGATGAGCCCTACCACTATTTGAGATTATTATTATTATTTACATATTAAAGATATCCATGTGAGCTATTCATAATAAACGTTCTCTAATTCATTTTCAAATTCTGCTGCTAATATATCTGCTAGCATCAATTCAATTCCAATGCTAAATGACACAAACTTCAGGGCATGGCAAGAGAACGTGATGATTGTTCTCGAAGTCATGGGCCTTGACCTTGCTTTACGGGTCGATCAACCTGCTGCACTTACTGATAAGAGTACCTCTGATGACAAGAGGGAGATGAAAAAGTGAGAATCATCGAACCGCATAAGCTTAATGGTCATGAAGCGTGCTATTCCAAAAACATTATGGGGCACTATGTTCGATAAGGTGATTACGGCTAAGGGTTTCCTTAAGGATTTTGAGAAGAGGTCTGCCAAGAATGAAAAGGATGAAACAAGTACACTTTTTGCAAACCTTGTCTCAGTGAGGTATAAAGGGAAATGAAACATTCGGGAGTACATTATGGAAATGTCTCACATTGCTTCAGAACTAAAGGCACTTAAGTTGGATTTATCTGAAGACTTGTTGGTGCACTTGGTTCTGATATCCCTTCCGGTACATTTCATTCAATTCAAGGTGACGCTACAACTGTCAAAAGGACTCATGGTCTCTTAATGAGGTCATCTCACACTGTGTCCAGGAAGAGAAAAGATTGAAGCATAAGAAGACAGAAAGTGCTCATTTGGCCACCATCTCTAAGGACAAAAGAAACAAGAAAATGAAGATTAATAAGGAAATTGTGGGTACAACACTGCAAAAGAAACAACATAAGGAACCAACTGAATATGGTTATTTCTTCTGTGGAGCTGCAGGTCATAAGAAGAAGAATTGCACCAATTACCACGCATGGCGTGTAAAGAAAGGTATTCTTCTTCATTTGATTTGTTCTGAAGTTAATTTAACTTCGGTACCTAGACTTACATGGTGGATAGATTCTGGTACAACAACTCACATCAGTACGTCTATGCAGGGTTGCCTAAGTTGCCATAAATCAAGTGATGGTGAAAGATACATCTATGCTAGCGACGGCAAGAAGGTGAAAATAGAGGCAATAGGAAAATTTAGATTATTGTTAAAGACTGATTTCATTTGGATCTTGTTAAGACATTTATTGTACTGTCTTTTAGACGAAATTTGATTTCTATTTTTGTTTTGGACAAAGTTGGTTATTCTTTTTCATTTGAAAATGGAAAATTTAGGTTGTTTTATTGTTCAAAATTGGTTGGTTCCGATTCTCTATTAGGTTACGATAATTTTTATTCAATTGATATAACTGCTTTTTTTAATGAATCTCTGCATGTAAGTAATCGAGGTGTAAAACGAAAATTAACAAGTGAAAATTCTGCCTCGTTGTGGCACAAGAGATTAGGTCACATCTCCAAAAGAAGAATTAAGAGACTTGTGTCTGGCGGGATTCTCGACCTTCTTGATTTCACAGATTATGATCTATGTGTCAACTGTATAAAGGGAAAACAAACCAATAAAATGAGATTTCAAGCTAATAGGACTTCGGACGTCTTAGAACTTATACATACGAATATTTGTCGACCATTCCCTATGGGTTCTTGGAATAGTCAACAATATTTTATAACATTTATAGACGAATTTTCAAGATATGGCTATATATATCTCATTCATGAAAAATCACAGTCACTGGATGTGTTCAAAAATAATAAAGTTGAAGTTGAGAACCAACTCGGCAAAAGAATTAAAAGCGTCAGATCTGATCGTGGGGGTAAATACTATGGTAGATATGACAGTTTAGGTGAACAACGTCCAGGACCATTTGCTAAATTCCTAGAAGAATGCGGTATCATCCCATAGTACACTATGCCGGGTTCGCCCACTATTAATGGTGTTGCTGAGAGACGAAACAAAACGCTTAAGGACATGGTGATGGGTATGATTAGTCATTCTACCTTACTAGAATCTCTCTGGGGTGAAGCATTAAAGACCGCAACTTATATACTCAACAGAGTTCCAACTAAGATCACTGATAAAACCCCATATGAGTTTTGGATGGGCAAGAAGTCTAGCTTGAAGCATATACATATTTGGGGGTGTCCAGCCGAGGTAAGGCCCTATAAGCCAAATGAAAAGAAACTGGATGCAAGGACCATTAGTTGCTATTTTATTGGATATTCTGAAAGGTCCAGGGGTTACAAGTTTTATGATACCACAACTAAGACAATTTTCGAGACAGGAAATGCTCGGTTCTTTGAGGATGTTGAGTTTGCGGGAGGAGAAAGTGTTACAAGCTTTGTCTTTGAGGAGGAATATGTTGAAATTTCTTTAATTGCCATTAACAATGATCAGGTTCCTATCTCTGATATTTTTCAAGAAGCAACTCTGGATCAAGACAATGTCATACCTCCCTCTCAAGATCAACAAATTATTCCAGAAGAACAAACTCTACAACCTCAAGAACCAATGCCATTAAGAAGATCCACTAGAGAGAGGAGACGTGTGGTTTCGGACGATTACATTGTATTTCTCCTAGAATATGAAGTTGACATTGGAATGGTGAAAGATGATCCAATCAACTTTCGTCAAGCCATGGAAAGTTCTAACTCTCAAAAGTGGCTCGATGCCATGAATGAAGAGATAAAGTCCATGAAAGACAATGACGTATGGGATCTCGTTCCATTGCCTGAAGGTGCGAAACCCATTGGTTGCAAATGGATATTTAATATCAAGAGGGATTCGAAGGGTGATTTAGAAAGGTATAAGGCTCGTCTTGTCGCAAAGGGCTTTACACAGAAAGAAGGCATCGATTATAAAGAAACTTTCTCTCCAATTTTTTCGAAAGACTCTTTTAGGACCATAATGGCATTGATAGCACATTTCGATCTTGAGTTACATCAGATGGATGTTAAGATAACGTTTCTTAATGGTGACATTGATGAAACAATTTATATGGTACAATCAGAAAACTTTGTATCGGACGATGCAAAGCAAATGGTTTGTAAATTAAAAATATCCATCTATGGACTCAAACAGGCGTCTCGTTAATGGTATTAAAAGTTTCATCAGATGATAATCTCATTTGGTTTTGAGATGAATTTGATCGATGATTATATATACCACAAGTTCAGTGGGAGCAAGTATATTTTTCTGATTTTATATGTCGATGACATATTGCTTGCTAACAACGATATATGCTTATTGCATGAAATCAAGAGATTTCAAGCAAAGAATTTTGAGATGAAAGATTTTGGTGACGCCTCTTTTGTATTAGGAATTCAGATACACGAGATCGCTCTCGGGGTATTTTTGGATTATCACAAAAGAGTTATATTGAAAAGGTTCTTAAAAGATATGACATGCAAGATTGTAAATCAGGTGACACCCCTGTGACTAAAGGAGACAAGTTCAGCTTAAGTCAGTGCCCTAAAAATGACTCGTAAATTAAAGAAATGTAGAAGATTCCTTATTCTTTTGTTATAGGGAGTCTGATGTATGCTCAAATTTGTACGCGTCTGGATATAACGTACATTGTTGGGATACTAGGGAGATATTTAAGTAACCTGGGAATGGATCATTGGAAAGCAGCCAAACGGGTCATGCAGTATTTACAGAGAACAAAAGACTACATGCTCACATACAGGAGATCGGATCAGTTGGAGATTATCGATTATTCTGATTCCGATTTCGCGGGATGCCAAGATAGTAGGAGATTCATTGCTATGAGGCATCATATCATGGAATATGATTGTGTAATTTTATCATTGGGCTGCGCATTGTGGACAATATAGAAAGATCGCTCAAGATATTTTGTGACAATAAATCAACAGTATTGTATTCCAATAACAACAAGAGCTTGACAAAGTTGAAACATATAGAGATCAAATTCTTGGCTGTTAAAGAAAGAGTTTAGATTGGACATGTGTTAATAGAGCATATAGGGACAAACTCCATGATTGCGGATCTGCTTACTGAGGAATTGATATCCAAAGTCTTTCATGACCATACTGCTCATATGGGTGTAATGTCTCTTGAAGATATTTAGTTTCAGTGGGAGTTTGCATTTTGTGCTAGACACATTTACTGTCATTTTGGATACGATTTAAGGTTAAAGTTATTTCGGTTATAAGATTTATTTGGTTTATCATCTCTGAACTTGTTTAAAATGATCTCACTAAGGCATTAAGGTGGACCAGTTGGAAATAGGCATGTTACAGATCACATCATATGTAATTTCCATGCTACACATCCATGCTTGATTCATGTCATTCAGTTATATTGATATACGTGACCATTGATGGGTTTAGCTACATGAAAGTAGCAAAAACCGCTTTGATCCTATGTTGATATGATTGATGGACGAGATTGTTTTGGGAATGCATTCAGTAATGATAGTAAAATTTTGAATACTCATAAGGTTATATTTAATGCACAATTATAAGGTGACACAGATAGCCCAAGTGGGAGATTATAAGGAATTTTTAAACGATCGTGTGGGCTTATTTGTGTAAATTGTTGTGTATTAAATTAAAGACTATCGAATTCGGTTGAGCCCAATTAAAGTGATCTAATAAGGCTTCGATTTTGGGCCGTTATGCATCCAATTAAAATATGAGTTTATAAATGTGTAGAGACCGGACCTAAGTCCCTAATTCCATTATGGGCCGAATTAGGTCAAAGGACGTCGCTATATAAATACGATTATAGTCCCCAAATCACACGTACGTATTATTCATTATCTTCTGCATCCCATCACAGAGAGAAAAAGGAGGCTGCGTGTAGATTTGGAAGATTATATCGCGAAATTCATTATTGCATTAACCATATCTGATTCAGGTACTCTTCCGCCATAATTTATGTATTTCTTGATGATTTAACTTGAAATATCTGATGATTTAAAGTAATAAATTATCCTACAGGAGTTGCATCTGTTTTGAACTCATTAAGTTTTGATTGCTGTCCATAAAGAGTTCTGATGTTCTCGTCGCAAAATGGCGAGTAAGGTTCCCATTGAACATACTATCACCAAAGTCCATGCAATCCATGTTGCTGCATATCTTTTCTTTGATCTCGTATATGAGACTGGCCTCATTATCTTAGTTCATTGAAGAAGTCAGTAACAAGATCCTTTACTACCTTTGGAAAATTGGGTCCAATGTTGACTCGATATCTCGTTGAAATGGTTGATGATACTCTTAATAGAATTTTCATCCCAAGTGTTTTACAATCCTTTACCCATTTTTTGTGAATCAGTTCCTAAAAATTATCAAATTTTGCATTTTCACCCCTTCAGTTGCTAAATAATGCAAGACAGCCGCTGGAACGTATCAGTCGTTGAAGTTCTAGAATGCATTTTGGCCCTTGTCTTTTCAACAATATAACAAATCAGTCCCCCATATTTTCATAAATTTGTAATTTTGTCCCCAAATTGTCAGATTGGTTTAATTCAGCCCCTAAATTTTTAGAGACGTGCTATTTGCCCCAGAGATTGTATATTATGCAAGTTGGTCCATAAGATTTCAAAATTGATCCATGAACTCTAAAAATTAACGCATTTGCCCCTGTATTTTCTGAGATTTCAAATCTACCCCTCAAGTTTCTGATTCTGATATTTCGTTCCTCGAACTCTCTATTTGGTGCAAATCGGTTCTTCACATTTAAATAATATAAAGCTGTTGCACAATTGACCCTATGCTTTTGAATATTTCAAATGTTCTCTGAAGTTTCAGTATTGTTTATCTTATCAAAAAGTACATTACCCACAAGATTTTGGCCCAATGGGCCTACATTGTACATTCAAAAGGTCTCAAAGCTGATCCTTCTTGTTCCACCATTATGGGCTTTACCA